TTGCTGTCCTGCATCTTGGGAGCAATGGATATGTCCCCTTGAAGGGTGTTTATAGGGCTTATAGAGAGATAAATAGTTTCAAGGTAGGATAACAAGGTGTCCTGCTTGAAGGTTCTTATCTTCAGAACTTAGTTTTGGGTTCTACGGGGCCCTGACGTTGAGATTTGCTCAGGATTTTTCTTGCTCTAGCAGGGCGTGATACGCTAATAATACTGACGCACTGCTAATACAGAAAGGCGTAACCTTAGTCTACTGCAATACCATAATGCCCACATGCAGCACTTTGATTGACGGAGACTTGCGCATGCCTAGATCGTCCGAGCACCCTCGAAGAGGGGCTATGGGTCTTCAGTAGTTGGTATTTGAACTATAATAGAGGGCACTTGTCACCATATAAACAACTATTTATATAACCCCAAATTCCATTTCATTTCCCATGTTTTTTCCAGTTCACTGTTCATTTTAAGCCTGTTCTAAATCACGCCTAGGAGCGTCTTAACCCCTAGCCCTCTTGGTGTAGAGCTGCAGGAAAGCCCCTTCGCCAAAGCAATGCGGAGGGCGACACATGTGCTCGTGGCCTGACTGTTTCTGGCATACGTTGGATTCTACAAGCCCTGCCTGACCCTGAGTACCCTAAAAACCCTAAACCCTAAACTTAAGAGCCTCCGGCTCGTATACTACGGTTATGCAGGGCTTTCAATTCCGGGAACCCTTGTCTTTATCTGGGTGAGCTTGTATAAGGGTCAGGGACGGTCCTAGTAAGGATTCCATGGTTTCGGGTTTATCTGGTAATTTCAGGAAACTCGAGTCCTCTGGTATATCCTAATTCGGGGCCCCGTTGCTGGAAATGATAGGGATTATACGAAGGCGAAGAGGTAAAAAGCTAGGCTTCGTTAAGAACATAGTCCCTCTTCCAGATACCTTACTGGGGGCTCTGGAGACTGACTAGGGTTTAGGGGTTCGGGTTTAGGGTTTTAGGGTTTAGGTGGGTCCTGCTTGGGCCCCAGAGCCCGAACACAGGGTTTCTCCATATTCTGCGTCTCCGTTGGGTGTGTATCTCTGTGAGTGACTATCACACTGATTAAAATCTGGGATAGTATTTGTATTATCATCATTATGATAACTCCTATTACTATTATTACTATTACTATTATTGCTCTTATTATTATTAGTATTACTATTATTACTATTTTATCTTCTGTGACAAAGGGGAGAGGCCGGAGGCCATGTTTTTTGAAGCATGCCGCTGTCTGCCTCAGAGAGGTTGCCCTCGTTTCAAAACTTACCCGAAACCTAAACCCTAAACAGTAGTTTCCATTATCTTTTCAATTATCCCAATATGACCCCAATGTGTATTACAAATATATATACACCCAATATAATCCCCTATAAAACCATCCTTAGAATCCCAGCCCCTGAACCTAAAACCCCCCCAACATCCTGCCAAAGTCTTGCGGATCTCTCTGGATGAGGGAATGTTCATCATTGTCTGAGTTATGATAAGAAAGGAATACGGGAAATTATTTTACAGGGATTATACGTGATTATGTTCCCTTTTCCTCTACTGAGAACCAGTTTGTGATCGGAGTCAGGGGGTCTACTACTAGGGGACGGGAACAAGGCCACAGGGCAGGGAAGCGAATCACTATGCACAGACTTGAACCTTTCAGTGAAGGGTTTAGGGTTCAGGTTCTAAGGTTTAGGGTTTAGGGTTGAATTGGGTCCTGAACATATTTGCTTTCTTTCGCGTATTAGGAACCCCGAAAAAGTAGATAGAGAGACAGGCACCACCAAGGAATATGTGGATACGGCTTTGCGTCCATAATCCCAAGAAGCCGACACAAAGCAAATTTCCCCCGAACCCTGAACCCTAATCCCTAACTCCTCAACCCTAATCCCCATTCACCAAAAATCCCCAAACCTTAGCCGCTAAACCTTGAACCCTAAATCCTGATGCCTAAACCCAAATCCGTAAACCCAAGTCCCTAACCCTAGGTTCCACCCTGCTTTTTTTTTCCCCCTGTAAACCCCAATCTGGGTTGCTGTTAAGGACCTTAGATGAAGTTATAATAACATGAGCTATAGTCGAAACTCCTTACAGGGGGGTATAGAAAGGGGAATTATTCTAGGGGTTACTAAGGGGCATACTTGGAGTTTAGACTATAGCCTATAGTATAGCTCATATGGGTATGTTGTAAATACTAGGGTCTCCTTAGAATAGTACCTAATTTAAGTTCCTTAACAGAACAGTCAAGCCTGAACTAGATCCGCTGCAGGTGATCCCGAACGACACTGTAAGTATCTACACCCGTCTCTGGTGCGTGTATGAGGCCAGGAAGTTTCAGCTTCCTAAACCCTAAACCCAACCCTACACCCGTAAACCCGAAACCGCATTAGGGTTTAGGGTTTGGGGTTTTAGGGTGCGTGGCTTAGGGGTCGGGTATGGCATCCCATGGCACCTCATAAGAACCGGAAGTTTGACCAATTTAGCGTTTTGGGTTTAAACATGTTTAAACTCTAAAGCCCGAAACCCTAAAATTAAGGGTGCAGGAAGCAGGACAGGTAGGGAGGGCACCAATTGCTAAATCTTAGTGGGATTATATATAGGGATAATGGAACATGGACACTAGTATAGTCTATTGGGATTGTATATATAAGGATAATGGAAAAGAAAATGGAAACTACTATGGTCTACTGGGGTTGTATATAAGGATAATGGAAAAGAAAATGGAAACTATTATAGTCTTTTGGGATTGTATATAAGGATAATGGAAAAGAAAATGGAAACTATTATCGTCTTTTGGGATTGTATATAAGGATATTGCAAGAGAAAATGGAAACTACTATCAGATCTGTATTCATTCCCTCCGAGCTGCGAGGTTGTCAAAGTCATGGCTGGCCATATGAGCCATAGTCTAAACTCCTTAAAGGGGGGTTATACAGGGGTTTATATAGGGAACTACTATAGGGTTATTAAGGGGGATACTAGGAGTTTGGACTATGAGTCATATAGTTGTGTTTTGCGCTTGGGCTCCTTCATAGGTGGCAGGTGGGTTGAGGGCACTTAATGGACAAAGGCTGTGAGGTTAGGTATATCTGCCAATCTTTTTATGTATCTACTTATTTATTTGCATATGTATCTGTGCATCTATTTACAGAAGTTCTCGTGCCTTTTGGGAATTATCAGTGCGCCCGTCCTGGTACCTCTCCCTGAGAGGCTTACCTGGGAACACAGTGGCAGAAAATAGTGATGATGCCGATGAGGCGAACCGTGACCTAGACACAGGAGTGCTGGACGTGACATGCTTTCCGGCGTTAAGAGTTTAGGGGTTCAAGGTTTTAGTTAAGGGCACAGGGTCTAGGGCTTAGCGGTTATAGGCAGCTTTTGGACATGCAAAATGGATGGCGCGCTTAATAATCCCAACATCATCTTTTTCAAAAGGCTCATGGACACGCTGAAGCTTGTCAAAAGCATTGTGCAGAACATTCACTGGTTCTTAGTAGGGGATAAAGGAATCTAATCCCTATGTAATCCCTGCATAATATCTTCCCTTCTTCCCTACCACGAGCCAATAAGAAGGGGGCGCTTGTTCTCTTTAATTCAAGGAGCCGGCTACTTAGGCTGCTCTTACTTGCTTTCATGATGACAGGTCAGGAACATTAGGGTTTAAGATTGAGGGTTTAGGATCAGATCTAGAGACTCGCTTTGCCCTGGGGTTTAGGTTTAAGGGGTTTAGGGTTTAGGGTTTGAATGTTGCGCCTTCTTCTGTAGAGCGTGATCGGGTTCAGATAGCCAATGCCTTCTTGAGTCGACGCGATTAATTCTGAACAATATGCTGCAAGAAGCAGCAACCGCATTTTTCTACAAAGTATTCCCACTAACTAGAGCATCGAGGAAGCACCGCATCTAGGGCGCTTCAAACGTGTTGGGATGGGATGTTTCAATCGCGAGCTCCCCCTATGCCCAGGAGAACAGTAAATCTCGTAGGAAGAACAGGCATGCCATAAGCCGTCATCCGGGGACTGGCTGGTCGTGAGGCCTTCGAGGACTGTAGGGCGAGCCCTGCGTAGGGAAGAGCTCCGCTCTAAGGTCCTTCCGTCGCTACGTGGAACTAGGGAGTGCGCAAGTCCCGCAATATGGCTCTTAGCATTTTTGGGGGGGATACCGTCGTACTGCGAGGCCGTACCCAGGATACGCTTGAAGCATTGGGATGCACCTCTGCCCCATCCTTTCCCTAGTCCCATCCCCCCCCCAATTCATGTGCCAGGCCACGACCGTCGGTGCAGTGCGCGGTCGCAACTTGAAGATCCAAAGTTGAGAGAGTAGTATAGGAGTAGTCGTGAAGTATGTTGTCATGGCGACGTAAGAGACGTAGAAGCTTACAAAGAGAAGTAGAAGATGCAGTAGGAGTAACAGCATGGGTAGAATAGAAATGAAGCAGAAGAAGAAGTGGTAGTAGCAGTAGTAATAGGGCAGCAGTAGGAGAGAAGGAGGAGTAGGTGTAGGAGTTGTAGTCACAGTAGAAGTAGCAGTATGATAAGCACTATAGCCGAAGCGGGACAGCCGCAGCAGGAGGAGGAGGAGGAGGGCGCTCGCGGGGGGCTCGGAGGATGTCTAGACTGGGTTGCTGTTAAGGAACTTAGTTTAAGTTACTATATTGCGGAAACCCTGCTATTTACTATATATACCCATTGTTGTAACTTCATTTAAGTTCCATACCAGCAGCCCAGTAGATGGTGGATTGGAAGCATGCCCCGCTTCTCAGTGTAATCACATAAAAAAGGTATTGCAGACGCTGCTGCTCCCATGGTCTGTTGGAGTTCTCATCGGGACTGCGTTGAGCGTTTCGCTGTGGGACCACAACAAGACGAAGAGGACCCTGGTTATTTTGGCTATGTTTGCGCTCCTTGGCATTGCATCAGCATTTTCTCCACACAGTATTGGTGTGAATGAAGCTCTTTCAGCTTTTGACCGATGATGCGCCATTCTCGCATGCCAGGAATGTGTGTCTGACAGCCCTGTGCTTTATCACGTCCTGCGCCAGCAAGTTGAGCAAAGCCTCGTGCCGCAGCTGGATGAAGTTCACTATCATCCGGACTTCTCACATTTTCCTCACCTCCACGAGTTCTGCCTTGGCTTGCACTTGGCTCAGTATTCCAGTGAATTATGGACTCAATGAAGGTACCAGTTGGGACCATTTCTTACACTTTTTCATTCCAGTGGCTGTCACCCTCTTTAACCTCTTACGGGTGGCCCAACTGAATCAGCAGCAGCTGGAGACAAGGGAGCTTTGCACGCAAGCTGGGAATCTTCACATCCAGACCTTGGAAGACGCCACCTGCTCTCACCCCCTCGATGAAGAGAGAATCCGTAATGCCATTGCTGGTCAGGAGGACCGGGGGGATAGGGGGAAGGGATTTCCTGAGGGAAGGGTAGCTGCCCCTGGAATATGAAACCTATATTCAGCCATATTTGAAGTAGAGTCTGGACTCCTTAAAGGGGGGGGGTTAAATAGGGGAGTACAAAAGGGTTCAGGGGGACACTAGGAGTTTAGACTATAGCTCGTGTCACGTGGAGGAGCGGGGGGTATTGTTCGAGTTCTGTTGCAGGCAGACGTGGACTTGGCCATTCGGGTGCTCATGCAAGCCGGCTCCTACAACGATTCTTACTGTTTGTTAGTCACAAACGGGGGCATGGATACCTATAGTAGCCCCTACCCCATCCCCAACCACATACTGTATTACTGCAGCTTCCGCTGTTCCATTCGCTAGACCCGAAATAGTTTGCAAGTTCCATCTTTGCGCCCCCTCATTCCGCGCGAGCAACCCTAAATCCTAACCCTAAGGATTGCCTTCGACGTCGTTATGAAGCCGGTCTCGAAGTCAAAGGCATGGGAAACACTGACCTAGTGGTCAAAACCCTACTCGCAACTTAGACTGAAATCTCAAAGGAAACTTAGAGGTTTTCACCCATAGGGGGTCTCAAGGCAGGCCAGAAATTTTACGTATTCATTATCACCCTTAACCCTAAACCTAAACCCTAAGTTAGCAAGATCCAAGAAGGGACCTCCATGTCTGGAAACCTTCGCATCCTCTGCTCCCAGCCATAAATCTTAAACCCAAACCAGAAGGGTCCATGTAGCTGTATGGTATAGGGAATATGGGGTTTAGGTGTTACATAGGGTTTAGGGTCTGGGGTTTAGGGTTATGCAGTAGGCATTTAGTATATACGTGGGCCCAAAAGCAGTGTTCTTAGCAGCCCTTTGGGATTTCAATATATACTAGAAAGCTACAGGGCCCCTTTGGGTAAACGTCCCAAGGTAGCATAGTGCCAAGTCGCATGGGCATGGAGATGTGCACGGGGGGGGGGGGGGTTCCAGAAAGCTCTAATTTGTAGTGGCCCAAGGAATTGCCACAGTCATGTTGAGAGTTAGTTTAGGTACCCTAGACCCTAACCCCTTTGATCAACATAACTATATGAGGGATCTAGGACCGAACTGTTGGTAATGGGTTTGGCTTCTGCAGTACCATAGTCGCTCTTTTCGCGGTTTGGGGTTTAGAGTTTAGGATTTCCTCGAGATGATGGTATGTAGGGCTACGTAAATCGGACCCCTGTTTCGGGGATCTTCCATGTTGGGCTGGAGCAACAAGTGGAGGTGATGTGCCCTTTGATGCACTCCCGCATTTTCCTAAGACATGAACGTGGTCAGATACTTGCAAGAGATAGGGGTTTCCAATCATTACGGTTCCCGCGTACCCTCAAACATTGCATGGTGCTGAATATAAGGACCGCCGAAAGTGGTCCCTAAACCCCGAAGCCTAAATCCTAAACCCAAGCCTCTCTGAGGTTTGCTGCCTGTGGGCCTTGTCGATGGTGGATTCTCTGGGCTTCCTATCAAACAGGCTTGCGGCTTGTGAAGGGCTGCAGAGCACTTGGCTGTACGTTTCGATTGGGGTCCTGCTCCCAGGCAAGATATTCAGCAGTGTACTTTTAGTAAACACTGCACCCCAACATGTTTAACACCTGTTTTCTACGACGTATCTTCACCATGTTTACAGGTTCTATGTATAGTCCCTCTAGGTACATATTGGGCGGGGAGCCCTTTTTTCACACACGTGCAGGCAACATCTAGGCCCCTTTTTGCCGGGCTTACTTCTTTCCCTCAACGTGCGCTATAGTTGAAGGTTTCAGAAAATCAGGGGTACCATTCTGGGGTCCCAATAATAAGGACTATAGCATTTGGGGGTCTATATTGGGGTCCTCCTATATGTTGAAATTGCCAAAAAACAACCTTAGACCCTTAAACCCGAAGCCATAACTAGTAGTTTCCATTTTCTTTTCCATTATCCCTACATAACCCCTCTATAACCCTATGTATCCATTTTAAGGGGCCCAGGGTTTCCATTTTCTTTTCCATTATCCTATATAACCCCTTTATAACCCCTATGTATGTCGGACCTTTAGGGTCTATTTGGGACTTTGTGTTTTTCTTCAGTAAAGCTGAGGGCCTGGAGACCTCTTTAGGAACCCCAGAAATGCATGAGATTGACACCGGGGGGGGGGGCTGGGGACCTCGGAGTCTCTAAAATCGATTAGTCTCTAATCTCATTAATCTCACTTATTTTGGAGTTCTCTATAAAAAGTGAGATTAGAATGATTAATCAGATATAGGGATAATGGAAAAGAAAATGGAAACTACTATTTCGGGTTCAGTATAGGGGTTATATAGGGGCTATATAGGAATACTGGAATTAAGAAAAAGGGAAACTACTATTTGGGGCTTAGGGTTATACCTGGAATTCTTATCAGGATCCCCTCACCCACTCTCCCTGAAACACCGGTAAGGACAGTCACAACGGTGTCTTTGCCATTTGTGACGCGGGCGGTGGTCAGACGAGGAGGGCCCCATCGCGGAGCCTTCGCTGCTACATGGCCGACTTGGCAATTTTGGGCCCCCTAAACCCAAACCAGAAAGCCGGAACGCTATGGTGTAGGGTTTAGACTGCGCGTATAGCAAAATGCGGGGTGTATAGGACATGCCCGAGGCTTCCGTGGCCCCCTTGCTAGGGGCGTTCGGGCCCATGTGATAGGTCTGAAGGGGTTGGTATTTTGGGGTCTTCTCGGCGAAAAACCTAGAGGAGCACACTCGTGGCGATGACATTTTGCTGCAGAAAAGTTGGGCCACCCTCACTTAGGCTGTTGGATATAGCGCTCAAGTTAATTGGGTGCTTTCAGTTATAAATGCCAGCGTGTTTTAAGTTCGCAGGACATTGAGCTACTCGTTTAACCTGAGCTTATGCACTGAATCCAAAGGGTCCATGCAGGTGTATAGTATATACTTAGGGTCCAAAGTGTTCTCGTATACTTACTTTAGCGCCGAAATATGTAGGATATGTCTACAAGGACCCTTTGGGGAAGCAAGCAACATCTTCGTAGCTCTGCTCTATAGGAGCTTCCAAGAATAGGAAGAGGAGCCATCCCCTCCATACACCTCCATACACCAACAGCAAATTCCTTGGTACAAGGGACACCTCTGTATGCGTACCTTAAGTTCTCACTTTCAATATTGCGATGCAGGCTTGTTATCTCGGCGTCGCCTCTCCGTGGTCAATGTAGTTGCCAGTGAAGAAAGTCGGATTGACTTGAACATGACTTTCACTTGTGAATACCTTGAAAACCTATCGAATCTGAAGAAGCCAAGGAGCTCCCATGTAAAAGGTCCCCCAATCCTACCCTACTAACAGTGGAAGAGAATCCGAACTCGTAGCCTTCAAGAGCGCAAGCTTGAAAGCCACGGAACCTTCAGACCCCTTGGAAAGCCTTAAACCCCTAAACATTAAACCCAAAACCCAAAACTCTGAACCCCTGGGGGATCCTTCAGCTAGAACATCACAGGCGCTGCAACCCCAAGCCCTTTAGGGTTTAGGGTAGCCACAATAAGCCCTTGCCCCTAGAGCCCTACACACAGGGGTTTAGGCTTTAGGGTTGGGCATGTGCACAATAAGTTCCCTTTGACACATGAAGGGCAACCCGGAATAATCCAGCATTATCCCCATATACCCCCAGGGTCGCCAGGGGCGACCAATTTGGTGAACCCTACACGCTTATTCCTGAACCCTGAACTCTAAACCCTCACGCCTGCCTTGAAACACCAAAAATCCCGAACCCTAAACCTTACGCCCCTGAATCCCATCATTTCTCAGTTGCTACTAAGTCTATGGTTTGCTCCCGGGCGGCAATGGCGGCCCTGGGTCTACCTCTCTTGGTGGAGAGCCTTGGAGTTTAGGGTTTAGGGTTCAAAAGTTTAGAGTTTAGGGTGAGGGTTCAAAAGGTTTGAGGGTCCTGGAGTTCAGGAAGTTAGGGGTTGCGGTTTAGGAGTTTAGGTTGTAGGAGTTTAGGAATTAAGTTTGAGGTTGTGTCTCCTATGAATGGAAGTATTGATGGGAAGCCCGTGCCTGACCGAAAGCACATCATGGCGACACTGCATTATAATGGCTAATTAAGGTTATAGAGGTTTAGATTTTTGGGGCGTAAGGTCTCAGAAATGGCAATGTCCTTACTCATCAGGGCTTTCCAGTATTGTGACTGAGGTTTTGCCTTGCAAATATCTGCGCCGGGGGTAGGCCCTCGTACTTTGACAGCTAATCTTGCTAGATCCGGCAGAAAGAATAAGCACAAAGTACGGGAAATGGTGAAGGTGTTCTTCGCCATTTGTGTGAGATATCTTTTTGTCAAACCGTCAGGGCGCGTACTTTAGGGTTTGCAGCTGCGCGAGGGACAGAGGGCGAACATTCAATCCAAAAGCTCGCGGACCGCGGACCGCCTCCTGGGTAGTGGCATGGGTATGGTTACAACTGCCAGAAGCATCCGAAGTTGTTTGTCAGCGCGTAGATGATGTAGGTCTCACCTCAGACCTTGAAGCCTAAACCCAAATTCTTTGGGTTGTTATCAAAGCTACGGGCTGTATGGACGCTTTTTTTTGGCTATAGATTATATCACGGCACCTAATAGTATCCAGGGGTACCAAAATGACACCCTAAAATTGGGAACCGCCCCCCTCAGGCTTTGGCGTTCACGGCACCTAGTATCCAGGGGTACTAAACTGGGACCCTAAATTCGGGAACCGCCTCCTCAGGCTTTGGAGTGTAGGGTCCAAGAAAGTCACCTGAACTAGATTCAGTCAGGGTCCCTGCTAAAGCAAGGATCGACTGTCACCTTCTTCGTGGCGCGGGCATTCTTGAAGATAGCTTCTCGGAATAAGAAGACCAGGGAAAGAACCAATGATAATCGCGGGCAGATGTATAGTACGGAAAAAAGAAGATCTGAGCCAGAATTAATTTAACCTCCTTAAAGGGGATTATCTAGGGCATTGTGTAGGGACTATTATAGGGGT